CGTGAATAAGCGGGTTATGATTCATGTCACATCATCAAATAAAATAAAATTAAGAAGATAAAATAAAATAGGAACATATAAGCAAAAAGTTTGAATAAAAATTAAATAAGAAATTCAAATGAAAAATATCAATATAAAATTGGAAGTTAGAATATAAAAAAGAAAGAAAGTCTAAATAATTTATTTCAATAGGAAAAAGAAGAAGTTAGAATAAAAAAAGGAAAAAAATGTGGCACTGATGCCCCTCCATAGTTTCTCATAATCAAAATTAAACAATCATGTAGACTTTACATTTGTAGACTTGTCAATTGTCTTTGTGTTTTATTCAGAGCGCGGAAATATAAATTCCGGAAAACAAAGTTTACAACATCAAAAATACACACATTCATAGTATAAACTCAATTCAACACAGTTGTATGTTCATGCAGAACTACATGTTTGGATGTCGGAATTACCTATTTACATATGTAGACTATGAAACTGATACGATTACAAGTTTGGATTTACAAACTTACAAGTTTGGATTTACAAACTTACAAGTCTGGATTTTTGAACACGATTACCCTCCATACATGCGTGAATCACGTGATCCAGGCGGTCACGTGACATGCTCTGTAGCATTCTGTTCACAGAAGCTGAAAGATTTTTTCGAGTCTTATATTTCTTACCATTCAAGTTATTTTTTACAACAAGAACAGTCAATTTCTCAAAAATGACCAAATCTCGGAAATAGGCTGGGTGGATAAGGATATTCTTACCCAGAATGAGCATGGTGACCATCATAACCCAGGTCCTCTGTCTTGGGAGCATTGTTTATCCATTGTGGATAAAGTATGGGCGCTTTCTTTTTATCATAGCTGATATGTTTAAAGTCTCAAGTAAATGATATTTTAGGGATTCAATAATTATATTGTTGTTAAGATATTCAACTATTTTTCTAACTGTAACTTGGCAATCTTTCATAACAAATTGCTCAACTAGAGACACATCTCTTTCCTCGCTTGCTTTCACTGCATGGGCAACAGAACAAACGTCATTTTTAATCATCTCCCTTTCTTTACTTAAACAATCAATCCAATTAATGATTAAACTTTTGGCAAGTCTTTTGTCTTCATTAACATATTGTTCAAATTATTATATGCTACTGCAAAGGAATTTCCAAGATACACGTTAAACTTTACAGCCGTTTGTTGCTCGAGTACGACCAAGTCAACCATTTTTTGTCACAAGTCACCTAATATTGACGTCATTTTCACATTGTGACGTCACAAACATGGAGCAAAACATTACATGGCACCTGCTATTTATAGAACCTGTGTATAACTATAAGTGTGCCAAATTTCATTCTGATCTGAAGCGTTGTTTTTTAAATATGTAGATAGTTCGCGAACTTTTTGATCACCCCTCGTACTCTGAAACAAGAAGAGTTGATTATTTCAAAATGTGACTGTGTTTAGATATTTTTAAAGACTTGTGGATTTGTGAAGTAAATTTAAATTTAGTGTTTTGTTAATGATTTGTTACCAGTGATTTGTTAGTAGTTTGTTAGAGTGGTTTGTTAGTAGTTTGTTCATAGACTGTAAGTGGGTAACAATATAACAAACCTCAGATAAAAATCTAATAATGCATACAATGATCAACCATTAAAACACAACTTTTTCGATACTGCTCACATTTTTGTAAAAATTAATATTATATATCTTGTTAACAAATTAAGAGACTAACATTTAACAAAACAACGAAGTTTAAAATCAAATAATTACTGGTAAAACATATATTATTAATGTATGTACCTACAATATCCTGATGTCTTGGCCCAGACCAGAGTCCCCACTGACAAGCAGGACATGACATACTTAAAGCCTAACTTCTTAGCCAGTCTGTCATAGGCTGTGTAATCTTCCTCTACAGCTTCACAGCTAAATATATAAAGATTATTCTGACTCCATATTAAGTTCACAATTTATCAAGACAAGGGGGTCACAGTAAGGGGGTTGTTCTGAACTCTTCTGTCTATTACTTAATTTGTTGTGCACATGGAATTACGGAGTTTAACATACAACAGAATTGATATCCAGAATTATAACATATTTTGTACTTAATGGGATCTGGATTGAGCTTATATAAAATAACTCCTCCTTCCCCCCCCCCCCCCCCTCAGTATCCTTGCAGTGACCTTGCAGTGCAGTGTCTGAGAACAGAAGGTATAAGAGAGAACCTTACTTTAATTTAAGTTTAACTTATATTTGCATTCTGTCATGTCAAGAATATCAGAGGAAATCCTGGCCTGCATAAGAGCACGGGTGCTTGTCTCCAGTGAAGAAAAATATGACAATAAAATTAGTAAGCTAAAGTAAATCAATAATAATTTATCCACTTTATCTCCAATAAATCACATACAATATAAATGTTATTTGCTTATTAACCACAGTTATCTGGAAACAAACTGCGCCGTCTTCATTAAATTCTTAATTATTTGTTTTGATGCTGTTGTGACGCGTCTTGAGGTCATCGTCATCGAAACTCTCCGAGAAAAATATTATAAATAACAATATTATGAAAAAATAGAATGTTTTTACATTGATTTTAGCTTAAGAATGTTTTTCTAATGTTTCTTAAGTTCTTTAAATTCTTTTTAAGAGTTTAAATTAAATCGTTCTTGAAATAGATACACTATTACAGAAATTTCGCTTTGTGTGAAGGTAAAAAAACCCTAGCATGAAGAGTTATCGCTCTTTGCAACAATATGCGTAAAAATGAACAAATACATTAAAGGTATAGAGTTCTGTTTAATTTGTAGAAAGTTTTATTTTGCAACTAAACACATTGACTAAAATTATTATATTTTTAGAATTAAAAACACCTCAATCAGAAATCTTAATCATTTTAAATTTCTTTTTTCCCGTAGGATTCCATTAAAAAATAAATTTTATTCCTTTTGTACAACATTCCATATATATACTTCTGAATGTGTTCTATAAGTGGAGTAGCTTGTACTGCGACAGTGTAAGAAACAAACTGCACTTATAGCAGCAGAAGTTGCGTTCATGGTGCTATGAATGCAACTGGTGAGTGCATGTTCATAGTGGGAGAAAACAGAGAGTATGCAAATGTAGTATTATGATACGTATTGTGACAATGCCCACGATATTCAAGCTAATTTAATATAGTGACCTTACATCTTACAGGGGGTCACATTTCATATATCAGAACCTACATGTATGGACATATGACCTCACCTGTTGTATTCTGGCTCAGAGTTCATATGACAGAACCACTCAATGTCTTTTAAGTTTTCTCCCTCTGTTGAAGGAATCTTTCTCCACTTCTGGCAGTTTACATTGTCACACTGAATCCAGGTAAAGTTTTTTACCTAATACATTTGAAAAGAAAAGTTTTATTTATAAAGTTGTACATGTATCCAATTTAACATAGCATGTGGCGGTCAGACAGGTTCGATTGCTGGTAGCCAAATTAAATTAAAAACCTATCTCATATATTTGGAACAGTGTTACAGTGTAATATAATATTGATCACGTTTCACTTTGATCAACTTAGCTGAAAATCATGTACACTACTCAAGTATGAAAGTAACAAGGCTTTTTTTTCAAATTTATAATTTACAAGTATATACATTTACATGTATTCACTGTACGTAATGGTTTGGTTGATGGATATTGGCCTGCATGAGTAGCTCAGTGGTTAGAGCACCTGACTAGTGATGCACTGGGGTCCCAGGTTCGATTCCCAGACCTGTTATACATTTTCTACTTTTGGAGTTCGATAATGTTATATAATTTGGTGCCAGTGACCACTACTAGACTTGCAGGTGAAAAGTCCTTCTAGGGGGGGGAAAAGACCATGGCAGGGCTTTCAAAAAGATTAGAAACAGGTGGTGACCTTATGGATAATGTGGAAGCAATTTTAATAAAACATGTTATTGGTTTTTCTCAGTTGCATATTTTGGAGGGTACAATCACAATTTCAGCTGGGTGACAGTACCAGGTACCAGCAGATGTTGAAAAGCCTGCCTTGGGTTGTGTCTTTGAGGTTGAAGAAAAAACTTAAGGATTGAGGAATGTGATGGTTTGGGCCATGGATACTGGCCTGGGTAACCAAGTGGTTTAAGAGCACTTGACTGTAGTGTCAGTGATGCAATGGTCTTGGGTTCAATTCCTAGCCCAGCCATACGATATTTTCTCCTTCCTGTTTAGTGTTACTATTAACATATATCATACACCCTGATAAGGCATGACACGTACCTTAAAACATTACTTTCTTGATCATACTTGCAAAATATATATAATTACTTTAAATTAAACAATTTTTATCTTGGTGAATCTTTATAAATCTCCAAAATATGCCAAAACTATATCCCTGCCAAAATAACTAACTGTTTTTTAGTGTAAAAAATTATATACATGTAATAAAAATAGTATACACCTTTATTGTGTTCTATCATTTTTTGCTTTGTCTTATTTTTTACATAGCATAAATTAAATAAACCTGGCGTATTCTTTCCAATACATCAACTTGCTGCAAAGCACTCTTCTGTGATGCTGGGGATGTGGAAAATGATTTGTTCATCTTTCAAATACGTCCTGATTTACATCTAACGATAGAACATTGAATTCTGAAATACCCAAAATGCTGATAAAGACCCGCCACTATGTAGTCCCAAAAATATACATGTTTATAAACCAGCATATAAAATCAAAAAGAGAAAAAACGTTGGCCTACTCTCTTGCCAAAGCAGACGCTTTTCTTTATCTGTTAATCTCAAATACAAATTATAAGTGTGTCATCTTCACATCTTATTTCTAAAAAATATAAGAATTCTTCAAAATTATCTATTCTTTATAAAAAAAATTCATTAATTTAAAGAATTCAGAATAGATCTTATTCCAAAATAAATACTGAAACTTTTGTTTGGAGATTAAATCAAGAAAAGTAGAAGATCGGCAGTGCGTTTGTAAAGAAAGGAAAAGAAAGTGACTCTTCTTAAGCGCCTAAGAGATTAAACAAACAATCGCCATTATCTCATTTTCAGCAGGTGGTTGTTTTTATTTAGTTGACATCGTTTTACCTGTGCCAGGAACAAGTGTGTCACGCACGTGTAAGTACCAAAACAGACCACTACTGCAATCATCAATGCCAATAAGAAAATGACTTCTCCTTCGTAGCTTGTTTAATCACTAATCAGTGAGACGTTATCTTATGGTAAATGAGATAGACATTTAATTTCCCTTCAGCTGCTGTTTAAATGATTTATTCTAATTCGTTCCATATTTATATATGTTCATTATCCACTGTTATCTTGAGCATTTATTTCTGTAACTGTACGAAAGTGAAAAACATACACCTGTATCGGGAAAGTTACTAACAGATTATTTTTTTCACTACTAATGCAGATCATGGTCATGTACATGTATATAACAGGTTGGGCACACCCCACCAACTGGTCATTTATCTCCCGTTTGGTGGACAATCTCCCATATCGGAGACGAATTTTACTGACCAAATGGTGGACTTTTTTATTCTATTCCAAATTTTATAAAAATAAAGCAAAAGCGCATTTACTTAGGCATTGGGGGATTTTAGTGAACATATTCCTCGCATAATTAAATAGTTCGATCAATTTTCCATGTGCAATTTCTCCATAACTTCCTAAAAACGATACACATAGTTGTCCGTAACAGCCGAACTTCTTGATCAATCGATCAAAAAAATTTTGATTGTGTTTAGTAAGATAAAAATTCTATTTTATCCAGTGGTTTAACTCTTGATAAGATAAGTTTCAATCGCTTTTTGGATCTTTGTCAATATTTATTTCCATAAAATCCCGTTAAACACGAGCTTCTCATTACTTTACTGGTATGGTGGGCACTTATTGCTATAAAGTTAAATTTTTTTTAGACTTGAAAGTATATCTGTTGTAACAGTTATTTTTCTTTTAGGATGAAGTTGCATATTCCATTTGACCTTTTGTGGTGTGATATGTATATTACTGATGAATTTAATATATTTGATAAATAATTTTCAGTAAAAGATTTACAAAGTGACTTTTGCAATTATTCTTGTTTTCGTTCGAAGTACATCGTTTTAAAACAATAATTATATCATAATATAACTTCTTTTACTATTTTTATAGAGAACAAAGCTATTGCGTACAAAATAAAATGATATAAAGGCGAAAACTTATTTTTCTTTTGATTTCCTAATTGAAAATTGACACAAATGTGCCACCGTAGTAAAATCCGACTTTTGACCAGGTTCAAAAAAGATCATCATTTTTATTGGTTTGCATTATTTGATTGGTTGCCTGGATAATCGAAATAGAAAGTAACGAATATGATTGACAGGTGCAACATCTGGAGAAGGAGGGAATTTTCTTTTTAAGTAAAAACAGAGAAACGATGCACTTGTTTACGTACATGACGTTTATTGTCAAATTTTTGAACGACTCTGCGCAAAAAAATACACGTTGAATTTCCGATTTTTTTCACTCAGGACACCGATAAATATCTATATTTTATTCCACATGGTTTAAAATTATGCGCCAATCCAAGCCATTCTATGGAATTGAACACAACCATTTTTCTCTCCCAAATGGTAAGTAAAATTCATCTCCGATATGGGAGATTGTCCACCAAACGGGGGATAAATGACCAGTTGGTGGGGTGTGCCCAACCTGTATAAGGGTTATTAATTTCAAGTGCATATTTCAAAGGAAATTAACCCAGTACTTTTCCATAGACATGTCATCTTCTATGTACATGTTTGCATCTCAGAAAAGGAAAAGATAAATTTTTTGTTAAATAAAATGCTAAGAACCATTTTACTAAGTGCAAAAATATCTTCTTGAACAGACCCCCCTTTTCCTTTTTCAATATTGAATAAAAATTGAAATATATGATTTTTAAAAAAAGATGTGTATTATTTTAATAACATTTATATATAATAATTATTTTAATGTCTTTCAAATTTTCTAATGTTGAGGTTAATTTCAGAACTGAAATTATATATTTAACATGTTTAAAGACAACACTTTCTTGACAGCATTGTTGTACAGTAATCATTTTCTGTACTTTTTTCTCAAATGAAACCTCTTTCTTCTTGTTCTTTCGGCCGGGTACTTCACCATTTATAGTGCATAAATTTTCTTACCCATGTGGTGCTAAGTGTGGTTTCTTGGTGATTGATGTGGTTGATGTGCCAAGTACACTCCAAGCTTTTAAAGGAAATTTTGATTTATAAGTGTATTTGGAAAAAACCTAGGCCGATTTCCAGTTAACGCGATGTGAATATTTAAATACTCATATTTTGTCTGAAAATATCCCAGATTTCCACTGTTCATATCCAAATTTTCTTTCTTGATGCGTACATGTCAATAGTGTGAAAAAATTGTGCAAGACATGCATGGTGTCTAATTTATCCTTTATCACTATTTATTAAACAGTTCTTATATATATATATATTTACCATTTCAAAATACGCACATAAATAAGCATTGCACTATGAAAGTACTGCTTAGTATGACGAATTGAATGATACAAGAACGATTTAACTAATTATGTGAATTGAGGTCAGCTCAGTGTTTTAATTTTTATCAAAAGGAAACTTTGATTTATAAGTGTATTTGGAAAAACCTAGGTCGATTTCCAGTTCGGGAGAAGATTTGAATATTAAATACTCATATTTTGTCTGAAAATATCACAGATTTCCACTGTTCATATAACATCCAAATTTTCTTTCTTGATGCATACATGTCAATATTGTCAAAATTGTGCAAAACATGCATGGTATCTAATTTATCCTTTATCACTGTTTATTAAACAGTTCTTATATATTTACCATTTTAGGTTTTAATCAAACAGATTCTCACTAATACATGAACATAGAATATCATTCATATATGAAGTCGCTAAGTTGTCTTTAATTGAAAAGATGCATGTACAATTCCTTCAGAACATATATCTTCATGAAGGGCCATGACATTTTCAAAATGACACAACTTTACTACAAGAAGGTCTGAGAAGAATATAGAGGGTTATTATTTGGTTTCAGACTTGGAAGCATGCAGCCTTACCGAAAATGTAGTCCTGATCATGTCGATAAAAGCCTAATCAATGTTAAATTTTGTTAAATTATGATGACCAGAAAAGATCTGTTTGATGTGACATAACATTTCAGATGCAATAAAAAATTTAAATCAAAGTTAATGTAAACCTTTTCAGGCAGGTTTGTTTACTAAAGGGGATCAAATTATTTCATCTGATTTTGTTTTCACCATGGAGAATATTACATAACATTCCAGTCTGCTTTTCATTGCCAATATTAAAAGGAAATTTAGCCATTGGACTTGCTGAGTTATTTTCAATAATTATGATACCCCGATAACAGCCTTCAGTGTAGCCATATTTTCTTGCTAAGTCTGTGCTTTTCACACTTCCTGACCTTGGGTTGGAGTTTTTCCGACTTCATGCAAAAGTTGGGACGCCAAAAAATCCAATCTCGTTTTGATGATCTCAATGATTCCTGTCAATGTGGCCATGCGATAGTAGTGTAGCCATTGTCTTTTTTCGCTTGACGTATTCTAGATAAGCTAATTTAAATGCACTTTGTTGACACATCCAATGGGTAGACTAGTTTTTTTTATAGACTTTGACACCCTTTAATGCGCGCTCAATTAGCTTCAGTAAATGACATGCATGATTCGATGACTTTTGCGTGTGTGCTGTATAATTAGACAGGTAGTGTATTAGAAGGGGATATTTTTACGATTTGTAAGAATAAGATGTAAATAATTAATATTTAAATTTTAATTTTTGTGTAAGAGCAGTATTGAACCTATGTTTATATGTTGTAAGAACATATAAAAGTGGTTCTTTTTATAATTGTTTAACTGAAGAGCAGTATTCATTTTAACATATTCATATGTTGTACTTTTAAGAGTAACAAGAGGTTCTTGGATGCATTTATATCATTGTTTATTCATCCTTGATTTCTCATATGCATGCTTTAACAAAAGGTGATTTCTGATTCAATGGATGGTTATGTGAATTTTAATATTTTGCTTTATTATAGCCCTTAGAATGCTTAAAATGAGTTTACTCTTTACAGGGTTGTCAGTAAGACCTAGGGGCCTGGGAATTTCACCACCTATGATGATGTTATCCCGGGTTACTCTGGTATTCACCCCTCAATCCCATGTTTATAGGGGAGAAACTCTAGACTCCCTTCTATTTTTTTAATGTCCTTTTTATTTTAATTCTTACGGACAACCCTGTATTTAATAATATGTTCCTAATGGTTAACTTGACTTGCATATATGGATGAAATATTTGACTATACATATAGAGCTGAGGCCATGGATTTGTCTGACCTAAAATGCTTTAAAAGTCAAAACATGGCTGAAAAAAGATCAAATCTTGAGAAACTTCCATCATGTCCATGTTGCAAAGTTGCATTGATTAGAAATAATAGACTATTGACTTTTTTTCTAAGAAGGAAAACTTTGCACAATTTCAGAGTGTTCCAGTAAAGTTTTTTTTTTGTTTTTTTGAATCAATCTACAAAATAAATGAAAATGATGCATTTTGAAACTAAATGTTTTCAAAATTGCTCGGGGGTGCTTTAGCCCTATACAAACTTAAATTCTACGCACCTATAGGTGAACTTAATTGATGTGCAGAAGAACACCTTTAAGTGCACGACTACTCTTTTTTATTGCGTCCTTGATTTTTTTTCTTTAAAAGTATACTGATTTAAAATTTCTAAACAAGAAACTCATTAAGTTTGTTTTTATAATGACAATCCTTCATGTTGTTAATTCCATGTTCCTTGTATAAAAATCTGTTTAGAACAGCATCTACATGTAAAAATTTATAAAGCCTTGCCTAAGGTTATAGGAGTTGTAATTTGCTCATGCAGAGCGAAGAGGAGACATAACACATTTCTTTTTAGGCCCCTAACCTGTGAAACTGGAGGGGACTATAGGTCTCCTCCTCATCTGCCTAGCTGTCTGCCTGTCCTTCTGTTTGTTTGTCCCACTTGACTTTCCACACTTTTTTTTTTAATGCTTGCAGATATTTATATGATTTTTCATATACGAGT